TTCCAGCGTTAAATGTAGACTACTGATCGGACAACTTTAATATTGCTAATTGCCTTAGTGTGAAAGTGGCCAATTTTTCAAGCAGAGGAAACATTCACGTGGAAACTGGCATTTAGAAAGTCTGCAAAAATCCAGCTTTGGCCGGCTTTGATCGAAAACTTCAGCACTAAGCTTTGGGTATTCGATTTTGAGCCTGAAAATTGTAAGTTTTCACTTGCCTTAGTGTGGAAGTTGCAAATTTTTCGAACAAAGCGAACATCGGGATGGAAACTAACTTTAATTTTTTATCTTGAATTTGCAAAGCGCACACAATTCGGTTTTAATGCGATTTTATCGAGAATTTTAACATTTGAAGCTTTGGGTGTTGACTAGTGACCGTAGATATTTTAAGTTGATACTTGGTTTAGGGTGGAAGGGGCAAATATTTGAATCACAGCGAACTTCTGGATGAAAACTTTCAATTTCAAACTTGCATTTACAAAATGCGCAAAAACCCAGCTTTAACCCGCTTTCTAAAAAAATGTCACAATTGCAAGCTTTAGTTGTTAGCTGTAAACTGATAATTGCAAGTTTTTGCTTGCCTTTGTGTGGATGTTGCAAGTTTCATTTTCAAAGTGCGCAAAAATCCTGCATAAACTTTATCGCCAATTTCAACATTTCCAGCGTTAAATGCAGACTATTGACCGGGAAAATTTAATATTGCTAATTGCCTTAGTGTGAAAGTGGTCAATTTTTGAAGCAGAGGAAACATTCACGTGTAAACTGGCGTTTAGAAAGTGCGCAAAAATCCAGCTTTACCCCGCTTTCATCGAAAACTTCAGCATTACGCTTTGGGTATTCGATATTGAGTCTGAACATTGTAAGTTTTCACCTGCCTTAGTGTGGAAGTTGCAAATTTTTCGAACAGAGCRAACATCCGGATGGAAACTAACTTTCATTTTTAATCTTGCATTTACAAAGCGCACAAAATCCGGCTTTAATGCGATTTTATCGAGAATTTTAACATTTGATACTTTGGGTATTGACTAGTGACCGTAAAAATTTCAAGTTGCTACTTGGTTTAGTGTGGAAGGGGAAAATTTGTGAAACATAGCGAACTTCTGGATGAAAACATTGTTTTTCAGGCCTGCATTTAGAAAATGCATCAAACATCCGCCTTTAGCGTGATTTAATCCCCAATTTCAGCATTTTAGGATTCCAGTGTTAGTTGTAGGTTAGGAAACTTTGAGGAAGTTAACTATCTTAATTTGAAAGTTAAAGAATTTTAAAGCATACTGATATTCTGGATGGAAGCTTTCGTGTTCAAACTTCCATTTGCAACGTGCGGAAAAATCTGGTTAAACGAGAATTTTTAAAAAATGTCAGCATTACACGCTTTGAGCACTGAATTCAGATTCGGACACTTTGAAGTTTCACCTTGCTTTAGTGTGAAAGTTGAAAACTTTTAAACAGAGCGGAACATCCGGCTGGAGTGCGCAAAATTTTGACTTTAATGCGATTCTGATCAAGCTGACTTTTGCACATTCAAGCTCAAATTTCAAGTCGCTACTTGCCTTAGTGCGGAAGAAGGGAACCTTTGAAGCAGAGCAGACATTTAGGTGAAAACTTTCATTTTCAGTCTCGCACTTACAAAATGCGCAAAAACCCGGCTTTAACCCGCTTTCTCAGAAAATTTCAGAATTACGAGCTTTAGGCGTTGGCTGTAAACTGATAATTGCAAGTTTTTGCTTGTCTTAGTGTGGAAGTTGCAAGTTTTTCGAATAGACAATGCGGACTAACTTTCATTTTCAACGTGCGCAAAAATCCTGCATTAATTTTATCGACAATTTCAACATTTCCAGTGTTAAATGCAGACTATTAACCGAAAAAATTTAATATTACTAATTGCCTTAGTGTGAAACTGGCCAATTTTTGAAGCAGAGGAAACATTCACATGGAAACTGGCATTTAGAAAGTGCGCAAAAATCCAGCTTTGGCCGGCTTTCATCGAAAACTTCACCACTACGCTTTGGATATTCGATATTGAGTCTGAAAATTGTAAGTTTTCACCTGCCTTAGTGTGGAAGTTGCAAATTTTTCGAACAGAGCGAACATCCGGATGGAAACTAACTTTCATTTTTAATCTTGCATTTACAAAGCGCACAAAATCCGGCTTTAATGCGATTTTATCGAGAATTTTTACATTTGAAGCTTTGGATGTTGTCGAGTGACCGTGAAAATTTTAAGTTGCTACTTAGTTTAGTGTGGAAGGGGAAAATTTTTGAAACATAGCGAACTTCTGGATAAAAACTTCGATATTCAGGCCGGCATTTAAAAAATGCATCAATCATCCGGCTTTAGCGCGATTTAATCCCCAGTTTCAGCATTCTAGGATTCCAGTGTTAGCTGTGGGTTGGGAAACTTTGAAGAAGTTAACTGTCTTAATTTGAAAGTTAAARGAYTTTAAAGCATAGTGATAYTCTGGATGGAAGCTYTCGTGTTCWWACTTCCAWTTGCAACGTGCGGAAAAATCTAGTTTGAATGAGAATTTTCTAAAAATTTCRGMATTACACGCKTTGAACATTGACTTCAGATTMGGACACTTTGAAGTTTCACCTTGSTTTMGTGTGAAAGTTGAAAACTTTTAAACAGAGCGGAWCATCCGGCTGGAGTGCGCAAAATTTTGACTTTAATGCGATTCTGATCAAGCTGACTTTTGAACATTGAAAGCACAAATTTCAAGTCGCTACTTGCCTTAGTATGGAAGTAGGGAACTTTTGTAGCAGAGCGGACATTTAGGTAAAAACTTTCAATTTCAAACTTGCATTTACAAAATGCGCAAAAACCCAGCTTTAACCCGCTTTCTAAAAAAATATTACAATTACAAGCTTTAGTTGTTGGCTGTAAACTGATAATTGCAAGTTTTTGCTTGCCTTTGTGTGGATGTTGCAAGTTTCATTTTCAAAGTGCGCAAAAATCCTGCATAAACTTTATCGCCAATTTCAACATTTCCAGCGTTAAATGCAGACTATTGACCGGGAAAATGTAATATTGCTAATTGCCTTAGTGTGAAAGTGATCAATTTTTGAAGCAGATGAAACAYTCACGTGTAAACTGGCATTTAGAAAGTGCGCAAAAGTCCAGCGTTGGCCGGCTTTCAGCGAAAACTTCAGCACTACGCTTTGGGTTTTCGATACTCAGTCTGAAAATTGTAAGTTTTCACCTGCCTTAGTGTGGAAGTTGAAAATTTTTCGAACAGAGCAAACATCCGGATGGAAACTAACTTTCAATTTTAATCTTGCATTTACAAAGCGCAAAATTCATTTTGAWGTCAGTAACTACATTCTTAGAAGAAATGTCGATTTTYGCTCATTTAAAAATTGTCATTTTTATTTTCCCCACAAGCAAAGCAGCAATCGCTCGAGGAGCGTTTAAAGAGAACCGTTCAACAAACACAAAAGAGTAGACATAAAWAAGCAAATGCGGGAATTTTCGTCCACATTTCTGTGCAGAAAGTGTTTTTATCGTGTATTTTAGAGGTTTCTGTGTTACCGGAGAATGAATGTTACCTACTAACATTCAAAGTGTAAAAAATGTTCCAAACGTTTCAACACACAAGTTGCCCTGCCCAGTATTAAAATTGAAACCGAAACTTTGTGCCTATTTTCGGCAGCTGCACGTGTAAATTGAATAAAATTGTGCATTTTATCTGCAATACTCGGTAGTTTGATGCGAATTTTATGGTCTGCGCCTTCCTACTTGCCATCTAATTTTAGTTAGTGCAACAATGTAGCTGGAGGAACAAGTTGCGAAAAATGCTAAATGGTTTTTAGGCGTTCGCATTAGCTAAAGCATTCAACCTCGACAGCCTGGTTGGTGAAAACCGTGGAGAATTGATAACAATATGCGAGATGGGGGCAAAGGATTAATGAGAAAAATCAAACAACAAATTAATTGACGACTGGAGTTTGTTTATCATTATTTACAAATGAATGTTTGTTTACCAATCGAATTAAACACTTTGAAAAGCAGGCAACGTATTTTATAAACTCAATAATTAATTTCCAATAAAGCGACTGGTGTGCCGAGATGGAGTAGTTTATTTGTTTTTACTCAAAGCCCTAAATATTTACAATTTTAAATTATAAAAAATGCTAAACATCGAGTGTGCACGATAACCGTGTGTTGTGACCTTGTTCGCTTAAAATAATACAATAAGAACTTGAAACCCCCATATCTTCGCTATAAGCAAGTGTCGGTCCTGATAGTGAATGTCACGAGTCCAGATTTTTCTTTTCCCGTTAATTAGAGCACAATGTTGGCTCGCACCAAAAAACCATCCTCAAATCAAGCCAATTAACGGCCCACCAAAGAAATCTGCATCATATCGAAAGACACGCTTAACCCGAGGTTATATCAGGTCAACGCATTTTACTTACTTTACATGATTTGTGAAAATGCTTATAATTCATGTTCGGGTCGTTAACCAGGACGCTCTTTAGTTAGTTTGAGCTGTTTTGCAATACTAGATGCTGCAAGTAACTTGAGACCATTCTGGGAAATCGCCCATTGTGGTCACTGACTTGAAACTTGCGTAAAATCACCTTAAAACCGATCAGAACGTGGAACWTTGGGTTCCAACACTATTTGCGAATRTTTGAGAGAAAATGTTGGTTAAAAAAMAGGTATGACGCTGATTTGCCTAAAAAAAAACTTATTTCCACACCCCTGTTCAGTTTGGAAGGAAAAGGGATTCTTGGCTTTWTTYGAWTKGACGCASTWKTTTCCGTGAMAATTGKTMTTCGAATTCRARTAGWTCTGTYTTGTTATTTTTATTTTGATCGCTWTAGAGGTTAGGAATTTGTAGGGARACTTYYGTGATAAAAGTAGATCGTTGGACCTACRAAATGGTTATTTCCACTTCGAGGATATTTTCAACGTTTTTCATAAACACAGTGTTTGAACTTTAATGATGTCCAAACTGTTCATTTTTTCCTTCTAGCTCTTTAGAGTTAAGGAATTTCCGACCACGGTGGTAAAAGATAAAATAGTTTTGGAGACGCGCTGTCAAAAATCTTGTAATCACTAATTAGCTATTTCTACCCGCTTTTTAGCTATACGGTTACAAACTTCTTGATCCGCAAACGGTTGACAATTTTGCTTTTATCTTTTCAGAGGTTACGAATTTTTAATGCGACTTTAGTGGTAACAGCAGATTGCGGGACGGACTAGCGAAAAGGTAATTTTCACTTCGGGGATATTTTCAACGGTTTTCATATACAAAGTGTTTAAACCTCGATGACGTCCAAGATGCTAATTTTTTTTTACGAGCTGTTTAGAGGTTAGGAATTTGCAACTGTTCTAAGAGGCAAAAGATAGTTTTGGAGACGCCCTATGGAAAAGGTTCTGACCACTAATTAGCTATTTCAACCCGGTATTTAGCTATTCGGTTTCAAACTTCCGGAATCGCAAACGGTTGAGATTTTTGCTTTTATCTTCTCAGAGGTTAGGAATTTTTAATGCGACTTTAGTGGTAAAAGCAGATTGCAGGACGGACTATCGAAAAGGTCAGTTCCACTTCGGGGATATTTTCAATGTTTTTCATATACAGAGTGTTTAAACCTCGATGACGTCCAAGACGTTCATTTTTTCTTACGAGCTGTTTAGAGGTTAGAAATTTCCGACTGTTCTAAGCGGCAAAAGAACGGTTTGGAGACGCCTTATCGAAAACCTTCTAATCACTAATTAGCTATTTCAACCCGGTTTTTAGCTATACGGTTACAAACTTCTTGATCCGCAAACGGTTGACAATTTTGCTTTTATCTTTTCAGAGGTTAGAAGTTTTTATTGCGACTTTAGTGGTAAAAGCAGAATGCGGGACGGACTATCGAAAAGGTCATTTTCACTTCGGGGATATTTTCAACGGTTTTCATATATAGAGTGTAAACCTCGATGACGTCCAAGATGCTAATTTTTTCTTACCAGCTGTTTAGAGGTTAGGAATTTCCTACCATCCTTAGCGGCAAAAGATAGTTTTGGAGACGCTCTATGGAAAAGGTTCTGACGACTAATTAGCTATTTCAACCCGGTTTTTAGCTATACGGTTACAAACTTCTTGACCCGCAAACGGTTGACAATTTTGCTTTTATCTTTTCAGAGGTTACGAATTTTTATTGCGACTTTAGTGGTAAAAGCAGATTGCCGGACGGACTATCGAAAAGGTCATTTTCACTTCGGGGATATTTTGAACGTTTTTCATATACGGAGTGTTCAAACTTCGATGACGTCCAAAATGTTCATTTTTTCCTTCCAGCTCTTTAGAGGTTCGGAATTTCCCACTACTCTAAGCGGCAAAAGATAGTTTTCGAGACGCCCTATCGAAAACTTTCTAATCACTAACTAGCTATTTTGACCCGCTTTTTAGCTACACGGTTACAAACTACCAGAACCTCAAAGAGTTGGCATTTTTGTTTTAATTTTTTAGAGATTAAGAATTCCTGATAAAGCCTAAGTAGTGAAAGACAATTTACAGGACATTTGATACAAAAGATTCGTACCACTTATTGAGTATTTCCAACCGTTTCTGAGATACGGCGTTTTTAAACTTTCAAACGCCTGCAAATAGGCAAAGCTTTCTGCAATTTAAAAAAAAAATTGATGTCGCAATTACAGGCCGAAAACTGCTCTTTCCAAAAGGTCCTTACAATGATTGCGATATTTCAAGTCGTTTCTAAAGTACGAGGCATTTAAACCTTTCGAGACTCAAGGTTTGATATTTTTGCTCCTTTCTCTTTAGAGGTTAAGACGTTCAATTGTCGTTTTGTTATCAAACAAATCGTAAAATAGTCTTAAACCGAATCAGAATAGTGGATGAAACCGGTTTAATTCGTGTTAGTTTTCATTCGCAGGGATTCCAAAACTACACAGACTTCCAGACAGAAGAGAATGCAAAGTTTTCTGAAAATAAAAACCAGGTTTCCACGTCTAGATCAGTCTTGTAGGTAAAAGGTATTACAGTGGAAAAATGTATTCAAATTAGAGTAGTTTCAACGGTTTTCGATCTGTGGTCTTATTTTCTTCTCTAATTTTCTCTCTAAATCTCTTATTTTCTTCTCTATAACTCTTTAGAGGTTATGAATATCTAATGCTGCTTCAGGTGTAAATGTACACCTCGAAGCGAACTATCGCAAAAGTCATTAGGATTTAGTAGATATTTCTAACCGTGTTTGAGACACCTCGTCAAAGCTCGATGCCGACCCAAAGATTCATATTTTTGATTCTAGCTCTTTAGAGGTTAGGAATTTCCGGTCACTTCAAGTGCTAAAAGATATTTATCGAGAGGCACTATCTATATGACTCTAACAACTAATTAGATATTTCCACGCGTTATTTGACTAGAGGTGGTTTTAAGCTTCCTGAACCTCAAAGTGCGGACATTTCTGCTTTTAGCTCTTTAGAGGTTAGGAATTTCTAATGAAACGCTAGTTGCTAAAGGCAAATCGTGAGACGGACTATCGAAAAGATCATTACGATGAAGTGGATGTTTTCACACGTTTTTGAGCTACGCGGTGTATTAAACTTTAAGTGCCCCCAAAGCCTGTTTAGATTTCTAAATACAGCCCTAATACGATTGTAAGTCTTTTTGCCCCAAAATGCAGCTCATTAAAAATTATTTCAAAAATATTATGAAGATAATTGCGATATTTCCAGCCGTTTAATGGCAAAAAACGCGAAAAGACAATGATTTTGTTTAGGTACATAGGTACACTCTGTATAGAAAGACAGTACACAAAACAACAGTGGAAATCAGCCAAAAAACAAATTAAACAAACAACAGAACATAATACAAAACCAAGCAACAGAAGGTTAGGTTACACGAACCAGAAATCTCAGAATAAAAAAACTTCTTTGTGCTAAATTAAGGACAACCTGCAAGGCGAATCGTGACTTTTAAATGTTGCGTTATTTTTTCTAGCCAAGTTGCACTTTTCTATGCCCCAATTTAATTCGAACATGTGTAAGAGCGTCACGTATTGTCGCATCAGCGTTCCTGCTGTTGTGCTTATACAATTGCAGGAATCGGCAACAACTGCAACATGCATGTGGATTGCAAAAGTGCAACGAAAAAACGCCAAAAACCAGCAGTTGAATTTGAAATGTGCACTTTCGACAAACTTAAAATGTTTGTTTGATGTTGAAAATGGGCTTGAAAAACTGGCAGTATTTTGGGATTTGAAAAGTTCACTCACAAGCGCCATTTGCATTGTATCTCTGAAACAATGCGCCCAATCGAAAATTCTCAGGAGACAAAAGTCGAGAAAATGGAATGGTTATTGAGAAAATGCGTTTTCGGAACTGATAGGCGCACTTGCCTAAAAGCGAGAGGAGGAAATCAAGCGCTCGCCCAATCGATTTGCAACCAAAACTCCTTTATTTGAAAGCAATTAATTTAATGAATATAAAAACACAGGAAAATTTTAGGATTTTTGATCTTGTTAATGGGGGTTCTGAGGATTTTCTGAAAAATCCGAAATTTATCTTGAAAATAAGTACGTACTGTCGAAAGTTTGCGAAGTTTTAAGCACCATTTGCTTACTAGGTATCGCTAAAACAATGCGTCCAATCGAAAATTCTAAAGAGACAAAAAGTAAAGACGAATGAGTGGTTGTTAATACAAAAAACCATTAGTCACAGTCAGTCACACTGAGACCATCCAAAATTAAAGACAAAATGACAAAAAGTGAAATCAGCCGTTAATTTAAACGTTAGTTTGTCACTTTTTGACATTTGCGCGGTATTTACGCGTGTTTGACACCTTCAGACTAGCGTCAAATGACTTCCAGCTTCCAGCGCACTCTACGTTATGGTACTATTTCAACTGAGGTTTTAAATTGTGAATTAATTCCAAATATTAAAATTTGATAAAAACTTACTGCAGTCAATATATGCGGATGTAAGTTGTTATTCTCGGGCCTGCCGGTAAAATTGAGAGCTTCACTCAACGGCACTTCGTTCATATTGGAAAATTCGACACAATTCGCACAAAAACAACAAATCCCGCACTGTTATTGTTTATTTACGGTTTGCCGTCGGATTCGCGTTCAAACCAACAACAAACAATCCGACGTGCGCGCTTAATGCGCCTCCTCAATCGAACGATATTTATACAATAAAGGCCGATGTTTATTGCGGTAATCTGTCAACGTGTTTACATACTCGGCCTAGACAAGTCTAAACACAGCGTCATTTCCAATTTTTTTTCTATGAGTTTTCTCGAAAAAGTTTCGCGGCGGCGTATCAGCGACTTCGGCTCGATGCCAGACGTCAGCGCAGTAAAGTAACGGTTCACTCTTAATCGTATGCAAATGAGCTTCAGCTCACGTGAGTTTAGCGGGAGGAAAGGGCACCGCTGCGCAGCAATGGGGGAAACAAGCTCCGCCCCCTATCCCGCGTGACGCACCGCCCATTTTTCGATCAGCGGCAAAACGAGCGTCTTCAATAAATTAGTCAGCAATTAAAAAGAAATTATCGCTCTAGGCTTTGCACGATGTTTTACGCGGCCACCCTGTACAATAGACACAAAGTGTCAAACTGATACAAGAATTTGACAGCAGCCCAAAGCCAACCAGCATCAAGATGTCAGATTTGACATCTATTTAAATAAGTATTTGTCAAAGTTACGAGATGTAGGGTTAGTCTATTCCACTACGGCCTAAAAGCGTCACTGTTTCCAAATGGTTTGTATATGTTGCAACTCAAACTACACCCTAACTGACAATTTTCTGACGTTTAAAGGCAATTTATGACACACATGTCAACCTGAGTATTACTTGGCTTGCAAATGTCAATTGTGACACCTAGTCCATTAAGAATCAGCTTTTGTTAATCAACTATTAATTAACCTAAAAAAATCAACAGTATCGTTGGGATTCTCAAATTTTATCGAGTTTTAACCATCTACTTAAGTCCGAATACAGCGCGCACGTTCTTTACAAGTAATGCCGTCTCACTCGTTCTCACAAATTTTCGTTTGGTTTGTTCTCATACCTGCATGACATTCTGAGTGACAAACTAACTTGTCACTTGTCAATCACACGTCTGTATGTGCGGAGTTGCCTAGCGAATGTGTAACGACTAACCATGTAATTTGCAATTTACCTTTTCCGACCGATTAGCGGCCTCCTACTGTGATGGTCAACTTGATTGGCTGGCCGCAAGCAGACAGTGGAGCATCAGGTCTGGGCATTATCAGGGTATAATCAATTGTTGAAGGGCACCAATGGCGGCCCAGAACAGATAAGGACGTCCCATTGGCGGGGCAATGCAGGCCGCGTTAAACGCCCCGCCTTTCTGCGCAGCATGCGCAACCAGTCTAGAGCGGCTTCTGCCATCCGGAGAAACTGGAGTCACATTTAAGGACACAGCGACCTCTCTGATCACTCCGGAAATTATATATCTATTCGCGAAACGTCAAATTACTCGTTGTCGACTGACAGTTGAGACTAGTCAGACTTGTTTATTTATGGGAGTTGATGACATTTACACCATAAAACAAGACTTACACATTTTTCGATCTGTTTCTATTTCTTTAAAAGCTTGCAAAAGTTGATTAGAACAAAACAAATCACAATCAGATGTAAACACCAATGTCAACAATACAAGTGTCAAATTACTACTTAACTACAGTTATAATTTTAGCCACTACGGAGCGTCTGAACTATTGAACTTGCGAATTTTTTGCACTTAACTTTTAGCATTTAAATCAGTCATTTTTTTTTTATTTCGGTCTTTATCTATGATTTAAATGCTTAAAACCGTCTTGAGGCTAGTAAGTATCTTTTGATGACACTGCAGATTTTGGAAAAAACCATCGAAAAAATTTGCTGAATTCACAAATATTTAAACTAATTTTAATTTAATAATAAATTGACGATTTAATCCCGCAGATTATAAATTTTGATGGCAAATCTTATCCATAGCGACAGTGTTGCCGCGCCGGATAGTGCAACTTTCCTTAACTACGCGTTATTGACAACACTTGTCAGGCCATAACCTCGTTTTTGCGATGTTTGTGTTTGGTTAGAAGTTTTGCGAAAAATGCGAATATTTAGAATAGAATGGTGTATTTAAGTAGACAGTGTTTTGACAAAATTCGAAAGCCCCTGAGAAAGTACCTGAGGGAGGGTTTTAGGGATTCCCTTCGGGTCTTTGTGTCAGGGGGCCCCGGTGGAAACGGACTGCCCAAGTAAGATTTACTTGCATGTTTGCTAGAAAAGCTCCCGATGGTTAAAGAGGCTTTTTCATTGTCTTCTGCATAGATTTGGAGGGGTTGGAGGCAAGGGAGGCGATGTGATAGTGGAAGCGACAGAGGGCATATCGCTAGAGACTGTTTACAAGGCGAATATTAGCAAGCGGTATGCGGCTCAGAAAGGTAAACATGCTTCGCACAACTTCATTCTTGGGCCGCCTGGAGAAGATGTGGTTTTTAAGGTGCCTGTTGGCGTCAGATTGGTGACTGAGCTGGGGAAAAAACTAGGTAGGATGATTGTAATCTTTACGATATAAAAAGTCCGAGTTTTAGTCAAATTGGTGCATGCACTGAATCTTTACCGTCATTGAAAGTTAATTAAAAATCAGCAATTCCCTCTCAAATCATTAGGTGCACTGATTTTTCAGGGGCGAAATATGGAGATTTCTAAAAAGTGACTTCGTATCTAAAAAAAGCATAACGTCCGATTGAAATCCGTTAAAACCCTGAACCTTTTAGAGTCTGCAAACAAATCGTGATTTTTGCGAACTTGGTAAATGTTGGTTTAATATATGCGTTTTCACCCAAGTGTCCTCTATGCTTGAAAAAATCATAGTTTCGGAGTCAAAGCTGTTCAAACGTGGAAACTTTTATAGTTTACACAAAACACGTGCATCTATAAATGCTGAAAATTTTGTTTAAATCGTTAATGTAAAATGGGCATTTTCAACCAAGTGCGCTCTATGCTTGAAAAAATCATAACTGCCGATTGTAAAGTTGAAAGCAAAAAATTAAAATTTCTCCAAAGTTTCCACAAATTTGTTGCACTCTATTCAAGGGCGGATCCAAGGGGGGGTCATGGGTGTCATGAATCGAATGGTTCTTGAGAAACTTCGAAAAAAGCAGCGTCATGTTCAAGTGGATTTTGCAACTCCAAAAAAAAACCACGCAAATCTAAAACTTCTTGAATTCAAGCCTTTTTTGAGAAAACTGCCAACATTTCCCCATCCATTGTTCACTTTCGAAAAAGGCCATTTATTTATCTCTAGAGTGATGTACAAATGAGCGTTCTTGCTCATTTTGCCTCCGAGAAATGAGCAAAAACGGGCCGGAAAACATGAAATTTTGGCATAATTTTGAACCTAAGTCTTTGATATTCAAATTTCGCTTTCTGGGTCAAAACTATTCGAATTTTCTCACTCACGTTGTTACGACTGAATCGAGTTTTCAATTATCTATCCAACGATGCCAAAACGAATTCTGTGGCTCGAATAGTTCTTGAGATACTTCGAATAAAGGCCAGTTAGTTATCTGTGGAATGATGTAAAAACTAGCGTTCTTGCTCATTTTGCTTCCGAGAAACATGCAAAACGGGACGGAAAGCATGAAATTTTGCAATAATCTTGCGACACCCTTGCACAAAACGACGATCATTTTTTTAATTTCATAGATAACAGAAGACTGTATTTTTTCTACATAACCCCCCCTGACTTTAAAGCTGGATCCGCCCCTGACTCTATTTACTACTATTTGGTGCACTCTATAAAATCGCCAAGTTTCGCTAAAATCAAAAGGCGCACTGCACTGATTTGAGGATTGGAAAGTTGAAGTTGAAAAATGAATAATTCTCGAAAGTGCAATTTTTTCATACCAAAAATTCCAGCTTTTTTTCAAAAAAACGCAAAGAGGAAATTTTCCACAAATTCGTCAATTTCCTCGAAAACCTTTAAGCTATAAAATCACCAAGTTTCGCTAAAATCAAAAGGCGCACTGATTTTTCCGAGGCTTGGAAAGTTGAAGTCGAATTCTCGAAAGTCCAGTTTTGTCAAAGAAAAATTCCTACTTCCTGGATTTGGCATAGGGAAGCTTCCACAAATTTGTGAATTTCTTCGAAATACGTCCGGTTGTTTTTTGGTCTACGAGTAGTTGCGTTTTTCTCCAGGCGAACTCAATGAAGATGGTGAAAAGCTTGTGATAGCCAAAGGAGGCACTGGGGGGCATGCGAAAAACGGCTTTTTGGGCACCAGAGGACAGGCCTATCCGGTGAAAATGGACCTAAAGCTGATAGCCGATGTGGGCTTGGTAGGGTTTCCTAATGCGGGCAAAAGCACCCTGTTGAAGGCCATTTCAGAAGCCAGGCCTAGAATTGCTAGTTATCCTTGTAGGTTTCCGACCAATTAATTTTTTTCATGTGTATTTCTACCACTTGGACCGTTGCAGTTACCACAGTTAGGCCCATCTTGGGAGTAATCTCGTATGAAGACCACAGGCAGGTCTCCATAGCGGATTTGCCGGGTTTAATCGAAGGAGCATACTCTAATCGTGGGATGGGCCATGAGTTTCTAAAGCACATTGAACGCACTAAGTTGCTGCTGATGATTGTGGATGTTAACGGGTTTCAGCTGAGTCCCCAATATCCCCATAGAAGCTGTCTAGAAACTATCATGCTCTTGAATAAGGTTAGCGCGCACTTACCGGGCTTTATAGCGAAGGGTTTTAGCCAACCATCCAAATTTTAGGAACTGGAGCTGTACAACGAAGACCTGCTCAACAAGCACGCCATACTGCTGATTAATAAAATGGACAGCGAAGGATCAGAGGCGAAATACCAGGAAGTCAGGAAGGTGATGAAAAACTTCAAAGGTCAGCCACATCGTCTATTTTAGTGTATTTCTCCATATTGACAGTAGGGCTTTCTTAGGGTTCATATCAACCTACAAGGAAGACTTGAAGCCTAACAAACCGATAAACTTCACCGACATTCTGGCAATCTCAGCCAAAGAGAGCCAGAGCGATGTTCTAAAGGTGAAAACCCGGTTAAGAAATCTATTAGACTTAGTGAGCGAATTGAATGAAAGCAGCGATAGCGAGGATGTTTATAGTGACCTGAAGAAGCCCTTTGTGGAAAAGGGACCTGTTTTAGTATAAACACAGTATCATTGGTTTTGACTGATTCCTTTCTGGTTGTCTTTGTCCAACAGTTTGGCAAGCTTCACCCATTTGCAACTGATATTTTCTCTAGACACATCCTCAATTAGACTGGCGCCCAACGGGCTGATTTTTTCCACTTCTATGCCCTCAAAGTCCTTGTAGACGCCAATATTGGCCTTCCATCTGAAACACTCGGTTATATAAGCGCAAAACTTTTGACTGGATATGAACGTGCTTTCGAAGCCGAGCCAATACCTTTCAACGGCATTCCAAGCGACCATAATCCCATTATCTGTACAGAGTTTGGCTGGCGGCCTTACTAGCTTATAGTTATATTCGTTGCAAACGATTTCCAAGCCCTGGGCGATGAAGTTGTTGCACGCCACCCCACCTGAGACAACCTTAAGGCTAAATCAAGCGCAATGTTGGGAATTGAATCGGAGAGCAGCCTTACCAGCGTCTGCCTTTCGATGGGAATCAGGCTTTTGCGGGCCACGTACTCCATGGCTCTTTGCAGCCTTTGGCACAGATGTTTAGTGACTACGAGTAGAAAGGCTGCGCTAAGGTTGGCCACGTCAGGAATAACCTCGTCTGGGGCCACCCCTTAAAAACGCAACTTGAACCTTGGAAATCCATGCAAAGCCTGAGGGGTACCTTTGGAGAGTTCCTCCTTTTCTATATAGTACTTGCATACATTTTTCGCCCCTGCAAAGCTAAACTTGCAGTCCTTGTACTGCAACAAAGGAGGAGTGAAGGGGAATTGCAAGGGGTCGTCTGCCTTAGAGGCTGCTAGTTCAATGGCTTGGCCTCCAGACAGCTCGTAATATTCTGGCAGATTCCTCAGCTTCATTCTTCTGGCCATCTAGAATTGCTTCAATTAGTGCCTGTTCAATCGTAAATATCACTGTGGACCTTGTCGAAAGCCTCCCCAGGGGCATCATCAATACTTTCTCCCAACAGCGCGAATTTATCCACACTGTGCGCTACAGCCAAAAGACAGTGACCGCCACTGATTAGCAGGACCAAAAAGGGGAATTCTAGAGAAGGATTCTGCAGCCTGGCAGTCAACGCATGGGCCTCCATGTGGTGGATGGGGATGAAAGGTTTCTGATGTTTCCTGCACAACAACTTGCCGAACATTGTCCCCACTTCCAAAGACATTGGGAGGCCTGAACAGCAATTTATTCGATTTAGGGAGTCGATAAAGGGTTGGTTCCACGCCCCCACCTGGCTTGACTGTGGCCGCGACAGCGTCAATATCCTTCATTGATAAATTGGCCGATTTTAGGGCAGATTCTACTACTTGCTCGATGTTCTTTCTGTGCAAAACGCCTGCCACTGGGGGGATGATTCCGCCATTGCTACGAGAATTCCAGCCCGATTTATCACGCCTTGAAGACGTTTTTGACTCACTTTAAGTGCACCAATAGCTGAGAATGCAAGGATTCACCCAAAATGTTCCCTTCAGTGTCGATAATTCCGCAGCCAGTATCGTCGCAAGACGATTCTATCCCTAGGATTACGCTTCGTCGCTTGGAGTACCGGCGAAACCCTTTTAAGCCAGTTTTATATCTGTTCAGCCACTTTAGGGGGCTGTTTTGGTACAGCAAAGCCATTGTATCCTTTTTTGAGTAGGTTAGGGCCAGTCACAGATTGTCAATCTATTAGGGCTAGTTGAAAAAGTAGCAGGGCAACTCTCATGTAAAGACAGTTCTGCGTCTTTATTTTCTGTTCAGGCCGTAAGCGCGCTGTTATCGCGTCTCTCATCGAAGTTATGTGCAGGGTTGTCAAGTCTACCGTTTTCGTGAGAGCTACCGCTTTACCGTGAAGCCATTAGGATCTACTGCAAAACACGTTAAAATCTTTAAATATTACTATTGGACATTACACTATTTGCCAACAAATTGGCTACATTGCACTGCGATTGGCGATTGGACTACCCTTTTTTCCTTTCCGGTCAAAGAACATCCCCCTGGGATGGAGGGATATTCTGTGTTTCTTGTTTCCTAAAGCGCGTCTCGGAGTTTACGCTGCCCACAGACTACTCACTATTCTCCCAGACCACAGACTACACACTCACGCTGTCATCGTCTTGGCTGAAGACCGCTTAAAAAGTTCGAAAAGCCCAAATTACCACAGTTAAAGTTAAGTTAAGTAAGTTAAAGTTAAGTTTTTCGTCGCTTTAATGCTGCGAACAGAAGAAAGCGATGACAAATCATGAGCTGGGCTGAATATTGATCGTTCATTCACACATTTTTTAAAACCAGATTGAATCTTGAATTTCGACCCCTAAAAGACTGGCCTCAGATGCCTGGGGATTTTACAGGAGAAACATGTGCGGAAAAGGAGAGGGACCATGAGGACAGCTGAAATTTCGTTGGAGGGAACACTAATCGCGTTCCCCAATTTCTGCCAAAGTTGAGTTGTTTGAAACCCTTCCACAGACTAGTTGGAAAATAATTTATTTCTCCTAAAAAATGCAAACATTGCAAAAGCATTCAACACAATGTCTGGATTCCTATCCATTAACAAACAACAATTTTAGAATATCAAAGAGGACTAAACCGCACTAAATATACCAAAGTGAAGTGAAGGAAAGGGGCAAGGTATTAAAGAAAAATAATTTAATGGGGCTTAATTCTACCGATCTCTGTTGACCTGACAAATTAAAACACCTTATAAAAAGACAAAAACACTTGAAAGCATCAGGTAAAATAGTTTCAAAGTTGCATTGTTAAGTTAGATTTGTCTGAAAATAGCGTCAATTTTATCACAAACCGTTCAATTAATAGCTACGTCGTATCACTCAGTTTTGTTCGATGTTCCCGGAAAGACAGTCCATTCTAGTCAAACTTGTGGGTGATTAGTGGGAATCGCACAATGCGCAACTGTTTGCCGTAGTCGCACAAAACAGCGTCCCTCAACAGAATCAACTGTTTGATGAACACGAACGGCTCTCGGCCCAGTGTTATAGTCCGAACACAGTCACCATTGCGCACATCCCAAATCACCAGCCCCCCATTTCGCCCGGTTACCACTAAGTGGGGGGCCAACATTAAGATGTGATTGGAGAACACCTGGCCAATTACGATGGTGTTTAACAGATGGCCCTGAAAGCGCTCCCACACACAGAGCCTCTCATCTATCCCTAATGAGATTACGTAACTTGCCGAGTAAGTCAACGAGCTGATGCAGCCATCGTGGGCTTGAATGCTGTACATACAAGTACCTGAGCCGAATTAAGCACATCGTTATTTTATGCTCAATGTTGTTGGGGAAAAATCCACTCACCTGACAACAGATCCCAAACGCACAGCATTCCGTCCTGGGAGCCGCTTCCCGATGTGGCGGGACACACTCGGTCAATGAACAGACACGTGATTGGCCCGCAATGTCCATGCAGAGTGTAGAGGCGATCCCCATTCTCCACTCTGTAGACTTTCAAGGTGTGGTCTTGGCTGCCGCTCACTATGCGCCCGCCTTCGCAGTCCAAGCAGGTGATTGGCTGCTGATGCGCCTTGACGCTCAGCACTTTGATGCATCGCAACTCTTCGTCCGGATCACTCTAAAAAAGTGATGAAAATAATGAAATAAATATTCTATCGAGATGATTCTTATGACCCTTAAGATATTTTCAACGGTTTCCGAAATATGAGCCATTTTTACTACTTTTGCCCCTTTTTTTCTACAACCCTGGGCAAGGCCAGACTGCCTTCAAAACACTCAATAAAAATTGACAATAAGAAAAAAATTACTTGATTTTGTACGTGGCGCTCTGGTATGGAACCCATCGAGCCTGTTCGGATGTGCGTCCTCCTATAGGCGCAGGTGAAGTTCCAGTCCACCGGCCTGCCCTGATTGAACGTTTGCAGCTGCAAAAAGTCCAAAGAACCGCACAATCTGGCTGCAATCACACGCGATCCAATCAGTTTTAGGTTGGTGATGCCTGATTCGTTGCCGTCCTCGAAAACACACTGAAATCAAAGGCAACAGCTAAAATTAAACGGCATAAACCGTTTGTTTCTACCACCAAATTCCTTCAGTATGTCTTAGGCAACTTCCTCAGAAGAATCATATTGTTTATAATGAACGACACACGGTGACTTTTTGTGTTTCTCATCAAGAAGATTAAAGGTTTGAAGAGCACAATTTGAAAACTAACCACAAATACGATGTCACGCTGACAGTTTGTCAACACATAGGGCAATCCCGCGACCTGTCAGATCTATTCAAAAATGGCGACTGGTAATGTTTTGTTATATGAACTCTCACAATTTATTTGTTAGTGTGTTCTACTGCGAACTACACTTTTTAATCTCGTGTAAAAAAGATTGCGTTATAAATATTTTCTTTTTCTGATAATTATACTCTAATTTAAACGGATTTTGTATTTTCAATAGGGATCGATCGATGTATCAACCTGAAATATTTTGCTCTCATTTATTCAACTTTAACTTGCCAGGTTTTCTACTGTGGAAGCTTTTTACTTGAAAATTTAAAATGTGAATATAAAGCCAGTGTGTTCTACTGTGAACTACAATTTTTAATTTTGTGTAAAAAAGATTGCGTTGCTATAAATGTTTTGTTTTTCTGTTAATTATACTCTAATTTAAACGGATTTTGTATTTTCAATAGGGATCGATCGATGTATCAAACCTGAACTATTTTGCTCTCATTTATTCAACTTTAACTTGCCAGGCTTTCTACTGTGGAAGCTTTTTACTTGAAAATTTAAAATGTGAATATAAAGCCAGTGTGTTCTACTGTGAACTACAATTTTTAATCTCGTGTAAAAAAGATTGCGTTGCTATAAATGTTTTGTTTTTCTGTTAATTATACTCTAATTTAAACGGATTTTGTATTTTCAATAGGGATCGATCGATGTATCAAACTTGAAATATTTTGCTCTCATTTATTCAACTTGAACTTGCCAGGTTTTCTACTGTGGAAGCTTTTTACTTGAAAATTTAAAATGTGAATATAAAGCCAGTGTGTTGTACTGTGAACTACACTTTTTAATCTCGTGGAAAAAAGATTGCGTTATAAATGTTTCGTTTTTCTGTTAATACTCTAATTTAAACGAATTTTGTATTTTCAATAGGAATCGATCGATGTATCAAACCTGAAATATTTTGCTCTCATTTATTCAACTTTAACTTGCCAGGTTTTCTATTGTGGAAGCTTTTTACTTGAAAATTTAAAATGTGAATATAAAGCCAGTGTGTTCTACTGTCAACTACACTTTTCATTGTCCTGTTAGACAATTTGTTGGTGTCATGGAGTTGTTCTTGCAAATAAGCTAGTTTTTTTGGATTTTGATAGAAAAAAATGTATTTTTACTGTAAAATTTCCATTAACTAACACTTTTTCTTAGTGGCGTTTCTACTAAGTTTAGTTGCTTTCTACCACCAAATTCCTTCAGTACGTCTTCGGCAACTTCCTCAGAAGAATCATATTGTTTATAATGAACGACACACGGTGACTTTTTGTGTTTCTCATCAAGAAGATTAAAGGTTTGAAGAGCACAATTTGAAAACCAACCACAAATACGATGTCACGCTGACAGGTTTGTCAACACATATGGCAATCCCGCGACCTGTCAATGATATTGAAAACTGGCGAATGGTAGGCAAACTTGATTCCAGTTCCTTTGTTTGCATGTGCCTGTCACCGAATTTTAGGAAGCTTTTCGACGTGTTTTTCGTTTATTTTTGTATCCACGAGTTTTATTAGACCTTCACACCAAAAAAGTCACTAACGTGATGGCAAAAAAATATAAATTCGCTACAACATGTTGCCAAATGTACACCAAACTAGCCAATTTCGGGAAAACAAACAATTTTCTTCGCAATCTTCTGGTGGAGATGGCGGCTTGACATTGTTAAAAAGAAGTAATGAATCTACCCAATACCAACCAAAACAAATTGAAACTAAATCAAGTACAAGCAAAATGTAGATCTGACAAACCCGCGAAATTTTTCCAGCTGCGTCATCGAGACAACGATTTGTTAGACATCGGAACATCATGACATCCTTTGTTATCTTATGAAAAATTAGTGAATTTCATTGAGTAAAAAGGAAAAACAGCATTTTTGCATAAAATTCCACTGAGAAAAGTTGTTGGCACCCGGATTTTCCATAATGTGATCACACTGTTAACCAAGCACGCAAAAGCCTGAGGCTTTTTTTAAATTAATGAAAAAACCATCAAAAAATAAAAATAAGATCTAATAAAAGAGCAAATATTAGAGATTTAAAAAATCTCATGGTGCATCCAAACCTGACGAGCCGAGCCTGAGCCGCGGCAAATTTCAATATAGATGAAACACCTGATTAGAAAAAATGCCTACCAAATGTAAAAATCCTGCGTTTTGGACTGCTCTTTATTTGCTTGGATGGCATGCTGTTGCGACTTTTCATAAAAAGTTTATAGAGTCATTTAACCCAAATTTACGCAAATTTCTCAATGTTTAGCTACATTAAAATCATGGAAAATGACCATCGAACTACTTTGAAACATTGCTTAATTGCAAAGTGGAAAGTGCATCGTCAAAAACATCTTTGACACAGACTGAAAAATTGCTTCAAACCCTTCTTCACTCACCTTCAGTCTGCAAGTAGTCGCTTCCCATAGCTCCAACCTGCCATCGGCGCATCCAATAATAATTAAGTTATCCACATAATCCATTGCCCATACAGAGGACAGTTTACCCCCAGTCGAATCGCTCGTTTTGCGACTTGAGCCGCCCGATCTGTCTTCTGAATTCGAGCGGCTATAGGGCGTATGAAGAATTTTGGACATATCGCTCATCCAGTCGGTTGCTTCTCGAAAAGTACGCAGCCGAACGCTTGAAAAGTTCGTGTTGATCCTGCCCGTATAGGGAGAGAACGCCGCGTCGATAGGCGGCCAGCTCGATTCGCAATCTGATGGATCATCCGGCTGCTCGAAGCCCTTTGGGGCTTCGTTGTTGTTCAGGCCAAAATGGGTTTTGCGGTCGATCACTGCCACGCTTTCCCCCGTGTTGTTATCCCAGATTTTCAGCTGACCGCCCAAGCAAACGCTCGCTAGATGAACGCCATCAGTTGCTATGCATTCAACCTGAAAAAAACTGCAAGTTTTTGCGACTGTTTTTGATCAAAACCGCTACGTACTTCCTGAATGTGCCCGTCTAGAACCACAGGAACTGCTTCAAGCATAAACTGTTCATCAACCAGATCTTCGTTCTTCTCCGGGTACCAAGAGGCGCGCCATTCAGCGTAATTTCTTGAGCAAATACACTTATAGAGCACGACGAAGCCGTACGTCATCACTATGACACTGATCAAGATCAGAATCGACAACAGTGCGATTTCCATTGGGGATCTTGGATAGAGCGGCTGCTCTATTTGGTCTATTGCTGGAAAGTCATCTGCAACAGATGTGATTATCTAGCCTGAAATATGGATTGGGCGCGTAGGGTTGATTTAGTCATTTTTATAACTATTTTTCTTCAATAAGGTTGTTTGATAATTGATCCATTTTTCTGGAAGTGGGCTCGGGGGTATTTGGGGAATACAGAAAAGTTGATCAAACATTATAACTCTCACCAACAATTAAGATAATCGTCAAAAACGAAATATGAAATTCGGCAACAGTGTTCTTGATCATACCTCCAAATGACGTTTTCCAAGGTTACAGGGTTCGAAGCTTCTAACTAACATATCAGAATGCAAAACAGTGGCCGCTCTATTCACGGATAATTTTCGCAAAATTTTAACCCAAAAACACATTTCTTGTATAATTTGTTATCACAAATTTCAAAGTTTTCACCGGTATTATTTTGGAAAAGCTCAAAATGTTTCAAATACTATGCCATTTTCATAACAAGAAAGAAATAACCTTCAAATCCGAGAAAATCGTATATTTAAATCAATTTATGAATGGTTTTTATGAGTCACAAACTTTGACCGATGATATGAATATTGAAGAGCTCCTTATCTCAAAAGCTATGCATTGAACTCAAAAACCGCGCATACAAAAAGTTGATATGGAAAAAACCTTCTACGACCATTAAATGTTAATAAACATTAAAAACATATACATTACGCTCATCTGTTGCATCATGCATATCAAAGTGTACTTTCAGTACATGAATTTTACCACAGACTTGCTTAATTTATCGTAGAACGACTCAAATTCACTTCATAACCTCAGTTCGCAACATCAGTTTTTACGATTTACTAAAATGACTGGACCTTATATCCCAGTTTGATGTAAAAAAAGGTTTCTCGGGAGATCAATGTGTTTCTCGAAGCCCTTTCTCAGACTATTTATTGATAAAGAGTTTCTTTAAAAAATCTAGATCAATCAAAACTTGAGCGAAACTTTTCAATGCTGTTCCTGGTGCTTATTTCAATCGTTTGATCGATGCTTTCGCTTCAATTTACAGGTAAAGAAGGTAAACTTTATGCATGTTCGACATTGTTATACATTGTAAATTTTGAGGAGTACAAGTACACTAGTACGATTTAACGTTGACAGTTTTGTCAACAACAAAAGTGGATGCCTAGTTGCCGTTGTGATTTTAATTGTTTATAAAGTCGTCCGTTTTCCTATCAGATATCTTGTCAGAATAAGTTTCAGAATATTTCGCAATCAAAATAGTTAGACTTTCGCGGTCATTGCGTGAAATTGGTGAACACCCACATTTTTTGCCTGACGTTTCGCAAGCACGAGACACTAACTCCAGTAATAAACCAACGGAATTTCATCCAGACGTTTCACCCACACGCATCGCATCTTCATCATTTTAGCTCGAAAGTTTCTACGCAATTCGCGAGTTCAACTCCGATGGTGGCGCTGCGAAACGTCAAATTACTCGTTGTCGAGTGACAGTTGAAACTTGTCAGACTTGCTTATTTATTGGAGTTGATGACATTTATAATATAAAACAATACTTACACACTTTTCTATCTGTTTCTATTTGTTTAAAAGCTTGCAAAAGTTGATTAGAACAAATCACAATCAGATGTAAACACCAATGTCAACAATACAAGTGTCAAATTACTACTTAACTACAGTTATATTAGCACTTAGCTTCTAGCATTTAAATCAGTCAGTTTTTTTTAAATTTCGGTCTTTATCTATGATTTAAATGCTTAAAACCGTCTTGAGGCTCGTAAGTATCTTTTGATGACACTGCAGATTTTGAAAAAAACCATCGAAAAAATTTGCTGAATTCACAAATATTCAAACTAATTTTAATTTAATAATTAATTGACGATTTAATCCCGCAGATTATAAATTTTGATGGCGAATCTTATCCATAGCGACAGTGTTGCCGCGCCGGATAGTGCAACTTTCCTTAACTACGCGTTATTGACAACACTTGTCAGGCCATAACCTCGTTTTTGCGATGTTTGTGTTTGGCTAGAAGTTTTGCGAAAAATGCGAATATTTAGAATAGAATGGTGTATTCAATTACAAATTACAATTACGTCAAATTACTCCTTAACTTGTCGTTATAATTTTTGCCGCCAGGCGTCTGGACTTTTGGGGCGACTTCGCGAGTTCAACTAGCGATGAGGGCGCTGCAAAACGTCAAATTACTCGCTACCGAGTGACAGTTGAGACTTGTCTATATATTGGAGTTGATAAACAAGCGAAAAGTGAAAGATCCAATTGTAACAAAAAGGAATGTGAATGAATTGGATAAAAAAACAAAAATGAAAAGCTTGCAAAAGTTGATTAGACCAAAACAAATCACAATCAGATGTCAAAACAAGCGTCAAATCACTAGTTAACTTGGAATTATAATTTTAGCCGCCCGGGGGCATCTGGACTTTTGAACTCGCGAATAGTAAATGCGTCTCTAATGTCACTGTCACTTGTTCTAAAGATGACAGAAGCAAGACAAATGTCGTTAGCATGTTTCTATTAATTCCATCTCTGAAGATGCAAGGCACTTTTTTTGCGAAACGTGCGGAAGGAATTATTTTTCTTGGAGACCTAAAATGCCTGACAACTTTGTGCATGTTCGACATTGATATACATTTTACGAAAGACAAGGGCAACTCATAAGCAACGACTAAAACGTGTTGAGTTTAATGGAAAGCTCACTAGCGCAGTAAAGGAAAACCATTTAAAATTCTGTCGCACATTTACCTTGATCTCAAACTTTGGAAGCAAGACTACATTCTTAAACTTTTTCCACAAAAAAACTTTCTTTTAACCTCAAACTGCGATTAAAGATACAATCATTTTTATAGACAATGAAAACTGATGTTGGGAACTGAAGTTATGGAGCGAAGTTGAGCAATTTTGTGATAAACTCATGTAATGAACGATTAATATCGTTGCTTTGCAAACTCAAGTAAAAAATTAATTTTGAATCTCAGATTTTTTCCATTGTTTTCCCAATCTATTTTTCCCATTGTTTTCCCAGTTTCTTTCTGTGCTTACTAACAAAAAAACAGATATTTGCGTAATTTTAATGAAGAAACCGTTATTCGGAGGTGCAACCAAATACGCTGTTGTCTAGTTTCTGACCAAGTTTTTGCGAATATCTCGGTTTTTCATTAGAATTACTTTCCTTTACTCTATTTCCTGCGCTCCCTACAGACTCCCACCCAGCACACCAAGAGGAGGGTCTTCTGTTTGCAGACAACAGCAACATTTAATTCGATAAAATAATTCGAAAATCCAAAACGAAATCTCTCGATTATAAAAACATACCTTATTATTTCTATGGACTTACCTCCATTAAAATCGATGGGATCCAAAGCCATGGCAAGCGCCTGCCATTGCATCTTGTTGCCGTACTTTTCGTCTGGATTCCTCAGCAAAACGGCTTGTTGGGGGCTGATCACATGCGCCAACTTGATGCTGGGCAAAATCACCACGCTCTGTCCGCTCAGCGACAGGTTGTAGTTGCTCAAAATGCCCGACCAATGGCTGGAGGACAGCTTCAGCCACGGCGAATACCCGGACGGCTTCAGCCTGTCGACCTCAAACGATTGGTTGTGCCTGGCGGCCGCATCCATCTCTAACGGGCTGTAGGTGACGAAATTCAACGTTCGCGTCGTGTTGATATCGGGGAAAAAGTTCAGGTTGAGGTAGTTCTTCTGAAACTGCACCCCACTCTGATTGTGGCGATCTTCACTCGTGCTCAAGAAGTAGTTGTTGATGATGTCGCTGTTGTAAATAATCATGCAGATCCACACGACCATCAGCACCATAAAGGAGCGTTGGAAGAGTCGCGTGCGCGCCCAAATATTCACCATCCTCAACCGTTTTGGGATTTTCTTGTCCTGGTTGCCGTTGTGCTTTTGCGCAGCAACCACATTGGCAGGAAAACTCAGCCTGGGATGTGACCTGGAGCGACTCATTCCCTTCGTTACAAAGCTGGCGCTTTCCCCAGTGGCTAGCGGTTGATATAGAGCGTTTCTGAAGCTTGTTTTCTCTATCGTCGTGCTGGCTCTGTGCAGATCGATGCCGAGCACAGTGGAAAAGAACAATATCTGCAAGAACAACCCGGCAACCAGACTGACAAGGGCGAAGATGCAAAACTCCTGAATCACCGGCACGAACGTGAACAGTCCAAAGGTGAAAATCGTTATTTCGATCAAGAGGTTCTTCGTCGTGCTCCAGCCCTCTTTGCTCAGGCCTTGCGCTAGTCGGATTTTCGCGTCCAAGTGCAGCGGAGTCATCAGCACACTTTTAGTCAAAACCAGAACGTTCTCCAGCCCGAACAGTATGGCCAGATAGGGAAATATCCACTTGCCTCTTTGGTTGTTGACGGCCAGGCCGAAGATGAAGCACACGCCCATGGTCATCAGCAGGCTGCACAACACGGTGATGGTTGCCGCAAAAGACATACCCGCTTTCGACTTGATTTCGTCGATTTTTCGCACATAGAAATAGTAGTAGAGGAACAGGAGCAGGAAAGCTGCCACGATAGGGGCTAGTTCGAAGTAATCAATCTCTTCAGGGTAGTGGATGATTAGGGTGTCGTTTAGCGCGGCCGTCAGCTTGCTGCCATTCTGATGAAGCGGGTAAACGGAAATCAGCTTTTCTTGAAGCCCCTGTATAAACCTGCAAATTGCACGCACTTAATATTACACAATAATGTGAGTTTTTGGGGGGCGGAAAACGGCAGGAAAATGTACAAAAAGGAGACCAATAAATCCGATAAAAATCAACGAAGAATTACAGATATTTGGCGCGGGATTAGTTTTATCGATGTCATTGCTTTGGAGGCAGGAAAACCTAGTTTTTTCATGACGTTTTTGTTGTACTGATTTTATTCGTTAGGTGTTTTAAGTCCTCCAAATTATCCCACAATATCAGGGTACCATCAGAATATCTAATTGTATTTATTAGGACCGCTTTTTTCCTCTATGCCCCACACTTACCCTCGGTCGAAATCCTTAAAAAAGAGCGTAACAGCAAACTGAATGATCCTCTGCCGGTGACGAAGAGGGTACCGTTTGATTCCGGTATCTCTCAATGGCATGCCGAATAAAACCTCGGCCGTCGACACTTTGCCCTTGTGGTATCGCTGGAAATTCAAATCATCGCGTTTCATTAACGGCCACTTTCATTTGATCGAACAATCAACGCCGTAACTGATTAATTACGCATACAACGGCAGCTAGTTGATAATTAAAATAAACTGGGCGGATTTCAATTAAACGTACATGATGGCTGAATATGTTGGTAAGAATCGCGCTGTCCTGGCTGAACTGGTTGATGTCCTGCTGCCAAAAGTTGGCTGGCGACAGCACGAGGCAGCTGTATTGGGGCATCAGCAAGCTGGAGCCGGTCTTGCTGTTGGCAACAGCTTCAATGTGCAAACACACATGTCCCAATGTCTTGAAGCTGAAAGCAACAACCAATGGCAGCACATCTGTTTTTGCTATTATTGGAGAGTTTTAAGCCGGCTTTTACCTGTCCTTGTCCTGGTAGTTTCGCACGATATCCAGGAGTTTGAAGGACTCGTAAAGAGGCGCTCTAAATCCATCTCCGAGTCGCAAATCGGCGTCCCAAGGCAAAACTGCGACTTTTAAGACCACTTGCTGAATGTAGCAAAAAGGGGCGCCAGTAACATTCCCGTCCGACACCCATTCCTGTTTAGGCGACGTCAATGGCAAAGGAATGTTCACCAAGGGGATGCTGCAAATATTATTAATATCTAAATTTGCCCAGTAATGGTAATGGTGAAAGCCAACATTGAAGATGGCCTGTGGATGACTAAATAAATGTGGCAAAACGTCGGTTTCAGAAAAATAGACTTTGTCAAACCCACGCTGTCATTCCCAAGAAAACGTCAAATTGAAACCAATGTTGACATCAAGACGCATTCGTTGCTTGGCAACGACTAGGCGCCAAATTCAAAAATGTTCACTTTTGGTTGTGTTCTGCGCCACTATGCTTACAATGATCACTAGATTTTTTAATGCCAGTATTTGGCGTCATATTTTGACTGCATTCGCAAATTTTATCACTGTTTTTGGTCCAAAATTTACGAATAATCCCTGTAACTTTCACTAGATTACAGAGTTCAATGCTCAGAAATTATAGAGACTTTGATCGAACACTTCCATTGAAGTTTCGTCAAATTTACATGCATCTTGATGTTGTTGCCGCTGTTTTAAGTTAGGCGCCAAATTGAAATGTTGCCAATTTTTGCCGTTCTGCGCCGATAGGCCTAAACTGCAGAATAGTTGACAAAAAAATAAATATTAGGTGAGGAATTTTGCCATTTTAACGCCTAATTTTCCACATCACACAATCACCCACAAATACCGGTTTCATGAGGCAAAATCCTAGGACTGAGTTCGCAAGATTCAGCACAATTTTTCCGTTAAAAATTGCGAATGTTTCGTGCAATTTTCGTTAGATTAGCGCGTTAACTACAGGGTGTCCCATTTTTGACAGTTTTTAAGGCTCGTTTAAAAGAGACAGAAGAAAATAAAAAATTGATAATTTTAAAAAGAATCATATATTTTCACAATTAAAATATAGAGAAATATTTTATGTAAAAGTTTTTTTTATAATGATTGATGAATAATATCCCTTTTTCAGAATAAGTATAAGAGACAACGTTGCTTGACAACGGTTAAGCGCCCAATTGCTTGCGCCCAACATGCTTAAACTTCCCTCAAACACTCACGATAGTCTAGATGAGGCAAAAAAGCGAATTCCAAGAATGTTTTTTCGTCGAATTTTACGAATATTCCTGATGATTCTCACTAGATAAGCACGTTTGGATATACAAGRTGGCCATTTTCTGAATCTGCGTATGGGTAACTTCTACATTTTTAAAGATAGAGAATCCGCTAAATGGGCAAAATTGGGCAGAAWTCGWTTSCCTATTCATTACCGTTTTCAAAATTTAGGCACCCGAYTTGGTTCCTGAAATATCCTGAAAAKGCAAGAAATCAACACTTTTTTAATTATCAWATAATTCGTAAACTGCTTAAATTAGAAAAAAAGTTAAAATTGTCTTTGGTAGRACTTTTTGCGTTGAATTCAATAAACTAGCACTCGTTGTCATAGTCAACTTGATTTAYGAGATAAAAAATAAACTAATGTTTTTTAAATGGTAATCATAGTTGGCTGTGGACCTTYTAAAATTMTAATTTTTTTCTGAATTTCACGATATAACTGTTTGTATGTTTTTCTCCTTTTGTTGTTTTAAAACTTCAAAAGAAGATAAAAAATGTGTAGTAGGCTATGGAAACAAGAACTATATTATCACACAAAGCACAAAACAAAAATGAAATAATTAACATACACAATCATGTTTACTGGGCTAATGAAAATAATCATCTAATTGAAAATAGGCGAGATTAACGTGTTTTTTTGTGAATGTCTGTTGAGGCACTTTTAGTGATAAAATTATTGGTCCATTCTTTTATAATCACCATTTAAATATGGAGATATTTATACTTTTTACCAAATGAACTTGAAAACACGTTGAATAGTTTTCCGTTAACATCGTATCGAAAATTGGCATATTTTCAACATGATAGTGCACCTTCACACAACTCACGAGTTGAATGTGAAGATGCCAAAAAATGCCTGGACATAAACGGAAGTCAATTTGAACATTTAATTTAAACGATTCATTATTGTTTTGTGCTTTGTGTGATAATATAGTTCTTGTTTCCATAGCCTACTACACATTTTTAATGTTCTTTTGAAGTTTTAGGACAACAGAAGGAGAAAAACATACAAACAATTATATCGTGAAATTCAGAAAAAAATAAGGATTTTAAAAGGCCCACAGCCAACTATGATTACCATTTAAAAAACCATGGGTTTATTTTTTATCTCATAAATCAAGTTGACTATGATAACGAGTGCTAGTTTATTGGATTCAAGGCAAAAAGTTGTACTAAGGGCAGTTTTAACTTTTCTTCTAAGTTAAGCATTTTACGTAGTAAGTTATAATTAAAAAAGTGTTGATTTCTTGTCTTTTCAGGATATTTCAGGAACCAAGTCCCAATTTTGCCCATTTAACGGCTTCTCTATCTTGAAAAATGTAGAAGTTACTCATACAAAGATTCAGAAAATGGCCACCCTGTATATCGGAATTCGGATCAATGAAAAACAAAAGCCACTTTTGTTTTATTGGCGACGTTTTGAAATAATTTAAGCCTGCTGATGCCTAAATAAATGGGGAAAAACGTCGGCAATTTAAATAAAGAATATTTTGCTACTTTTAGTCGCGTTTTGCGCCGATACGCCCAAACTGCAATATATTTAACAAAAAATGTAATTAGGCGAAAGGCCTTTTTGTTCAATTTTGCATCAGTCAAATCCTGATGATGCCTTCGCCCATTTCAACAACGTTTCTCGGGGAAAAGTTACGATTATTCTACAAAAGTTCTCACCGGATTTACTTTAAATACTTAAAAATTAGGAAAATAATGTTTAAGCAACGACTAAGCTAAGTAGCTAATTTTTGAAAGTCGCCGGAAAAATACAACACTCGAATAATCTAATTAAAAATTACAGACTTAAAGGGACCAGGTCTAAGCAGCCTGGTGGCAAACATTAGACGGTTTTCTCTCAGTGCAACCTCCTATTACTCTTTTGTTTTAGTGTTCGTTCCTATAACGGAAATTGAGATAGACATAAAAACAAGCTTTCGCTCTCAATCGATCCAAATCGCTTTATAAAAACTAACGACTTCTTTGAAGAAAATCAGGTCCAATTTAAACAAATGTTAACCATGAATGAGCGCCAAATTCAAAAATGGCCACTTTGGGTCGCATTCTGCGCCGATACAACAAGAGATGTAATTAGCAGGCGCGATATTTTTCCATTTTATTCAATTTCGTATGATTCAATGGCTCACAAACTCCGTTTAGGAGAAATGCTGCTGCGTTAACGAAATTCTAGAGTGTTTTTTCGTCAAAAAGTATGCGATTTTTCTACACAAAAGCTTGTTTTTTTATTGCCGACGTTTCGCCATACGCATTCGCACAGGGGATGCTGAGAACATTACAAAAACTAAAAGGCACACCTTTCAAAGGCAACCTTGATTCAATCGCCTGTAATGGATTATGTAAATGTATGATAATAAAATAATCGCCTGAATCTAGCAAGTAATGGCAATTAATGATGATTTTAATGCATTTAATAAATCTTACCAGCAACCAACGATAATGGCAATGGCGAACGCCAACACTGAAGTGGGGTAGCTGCTGCATAGCAGCCCAATGCTGTAGAACAACGTGCCTACTTTTTCTTGAATGCTTGATTTGGTCGACGAGCCCCTATTGTGGGGCTCTTCCCCCCTGCTGCTCATGTTATATTGGCCATCTTCACATCAATTGAGTTGGACTTCTAAAAACCAACAAATGGCATTGTTACAAACAATTATTGGGCCTCTCAACCTCGGAAAAGAAAATTGCCAAAATCAAAAATTAGTTTTTTGGCTTCCTCATAACATTTGGCGCCCAATTTGAAAGGTATTTTTCGGGATTAATGCAAAGCACCAAAAACTGATAAATCGAGATAAGATAATCCGCAAGGCGAAAGTTGGAGTCGATCAGAGCCTAGGTTTAACCATATTATGTTAATGTTAATGAAATACCCGAAACAAATTAGGTTTGCTGAAGATAATTAGCGCTGACGTGGGTTGTATGCATTATCAATGCCACTAACGTAAATAACCAGAGATTCAGGCATATGGGAATGAGATTTACGCATTTTGTGTAGCTATTTACTTTTTCTTTCGGCGTCCAAAACAAACACATTAAGAGAGATACGTCCGATTACTGGACGGTTTATCACACAAGCATATTCATATTTTAAGGTAAATGATGTTAACTGCATTTTAATGGATTAATTTGAATGGGATTCAGAATTAGAATGTTCCTATTGGCATAAAACGCTGATCAATTTGGGCAGGTTTGCACCATACCCAAAGCCCGCTATCGGTAAACCTCAATAGGTTTTCATGCAATCAAGCAGGGAAAACGAAAGTTTTCCTTGCAAATGCTGCGCTTTCCATTCAAATGAAGCTTTCCTTGGCCCTGACCTAACCTAACACTGAAAATGATGTAAGAATTTCCTTGTGCTAGGAAAACTACTCACTTGCAAATGATGACACTAGTTGATACGGATGTCAAACTGTTCAAACAGCATTAATTTCACTCTGCCAACGCTTGCCTAGGCGGAAAACCGGCGAATTTCCCGATTATCTGTGTGTATTTCGGCACGCAAAAGGCATAAAGTCAAACAACAGCAACAAATCACTTTGACAACAATTTGACGGTCGCTTTGACTTGTTGTCTGATGGCTAGAGGTGTAATGCTGACATCTATCGGCCGCAAAATAAACGGTTAAAGGAAGGCTGAATTTTGGTTAAAAAAAATGTTTTCGGATATTTTGGGCATGCACATTTGGGAATTCACTAATAAATTAACAATAATTATTTATTAGAGAAGAATAAAGTTAGGTTATTTGAAAACTACGTTATAGCGGCAAGGAATGTCACTAAAGAAAAGGTGATCAAAAGTATTCAGGCGCCAAATTCAAAAAGTGCCAGTTTTGGTCGCGTTCTGCGCCGATTTGAAAAAACGTATCTGGTTGATGATTTTTTGTTTCAAGGAATTCGACAAAAAATTCTGGCAAGTTGAGCAATAAATGGACATTATTATGGCGAGCGTTTTTCCACACTTATTGACTAAATTATAACTTATTGAACTTTTAATCATATTGTATAATATAATATAAATGCCTTGGTTCAAATTTTGAATTTTTCATATATGCAATTGTGGTGCTGAATCTGCAATAAGATAATTTCAAGGTGTTGAAAGGCCTGAGGATGGCCTATTTAGGGAATTTCGAAACTTTTTCAACTTTTTGGTTGGTTCGAACCGTTCAAATGTCGCTAAAAAGTGATTTTTTAAATTCAACTAGTCAAAAAGCCCATTTTCAACATTTTAAATCAAGAAACCTCCAGTAGCGCGTTCATTGTACACTTCAGAGAAAAAGTAAATACGAAATTTTTTATGCATATTTTGAACCTTTGTATCGAATCGAGTGCTCAGAATTGCTCTCTCTTTTTCGATTTTGAGATTTGGTCTTCATGCAAATTGTTTTTTTGTATTATTTTGAAAATCATTCATCAGAGGGTTCTGGGAAAACGTGCTGCTTATTTTTTCATCTAAAAGCCGGCACTTTTTCCTAATTCAAACTACATTATGAGACATAGATTACGATTAAAGAAAACGTCGCATTGAAAATATTCAGGCGCCAAATTCAAAAATTGTCACTTTTGGTCGCGATCTGCGCCCACTTTCTTACCAGTTGCTGCGCTCGCGAATTTCAACAGTATTTTTTGTCAAGACGAATCATTTCCACGTTACCGAAATAAAACACACAGTTGAAGTGGAAATTGCATGTATTTTACTATAATGGTATATTTTTTCGCTTAAAAATGAACCCTATATTTATAATGGTACAAACAGTTGCAACCCGATTCGACATCCATAGCGACAATGTCAGACCAGCAAGCGTCTGATTGGTTGCGCTTAAGAAAAAACCTTGTCATGTGCAACGTGGCGCATTTATTCGACTTAACCAGACAAACGTCCTGAAACAGAAAAATCCATTAAACCCTTTCGGTCCGAAGCAGGGAAATTAACATTTTTGATTGATTTCAATTCAAAAGTTGAACAAAACTGAATTAACACGCGAAGCTTTTCGGAAGTTTGCCTGGACACCTAAGCAGAAGACAATGATGAAGATGAAAATGCAATATAAAGCAAATTAATTAAAAAGTTAATATTTTCTTGAAAGGCATTTGCAACCGGCACCAACTGCTTCGATAAAATGCGTCCAACAGTGCGTGTTTTGTCGCCTTTTTAAGAACAATTGCTCCTTTTCGATTGTGATGCAATTGCTGCCGGACACGTAGCAGGTGTCCTAAAATCGCACAGTCCCAAAAACAGATTCCGGCCTCCAAAACGCACTTACATGGCTGGCTGTTAGCGATTCATCTGCTTCCAATGGATTTACTGGATGGCACGAGTAGCTAGTGAAGGATTTCGGGAAAAATTCCTGTCCTGCCTCTTTATGGTGGTGGATGGCTCTTTGCACGTGGCATAGAACTTGATTTTTCTGAAAAAAAAAACGTTTTAATGTTGAAAATGTTATCCTGTTTTTACTGGGCTTTAGCACTTTTCACTTAATTTTTCAAGCCTAAAAGAATCATTTCAGCACTAAATCCAGCTAGTTTATGTGCTTTCCTAAGTTGATGAGTTTGCTAGGTTCAAAGCAATTCATAACCGAGTGACGTCATTGAGATTATTTTGTATATTTTTGCTTCTTTCCCCTTAGAGGTTATAGGCCTGGGTAACACTGTGTTGAGTTGCGCTATTGAGCTGTTGCGCTCTCTGAGTTAACGAGTTATAACTCATCAGTTAATGAGTTGTAATTAATTTGTTAAAGCTTTACGAAACCCGAGACTGGAATTTGCACAACTAAAAAAAGGGTTATTAACATTTTTCCTGGGTAACGTTTTACTACATTGTTCAAACTAAAAAAAAGTATTCTAGATTTTCGCAGCAACAGAACTGAGTCCAAAGAAAGTCGACGAGTTTTCTTATAAAATCGATCTCTTAATTTTCTTGCATAAAAATTCAGTTTGACGGTATTTTACAGTAAAACGTTAGGAAAAAAACGCGGTTTTTCTGTTTAAAGACAGTGTGGTTTAGAAATATTGACCTAAAAGTGAAGAATCTTCAGTTTCCAAGAGTTTTTCAAATAAATGATTAAAACAGTTCGGGGAAATATTTTTCGAAAAAGACCTCAAAATAATTATTAGGGTTTTGTCCATAATTCGAAGCTCCAAAAAGTTTTTCAAACATTTTTGCAAAGCGGTTAATGGGGCGAATGTTCCAATAAAATGTATCCTATAATTTTTCACAGAAAATACCTGGATTGCCAGTATTTTAAGTAAAACTAAAAAATAATGCGATTTTTGCGTAGAAAGAAATGCTTAATAGAAAAATTGTTAAAACTGGAATGACCTGTAAATTTAAAGAAACTTTAGAAATCTTCAGCGCGATGAGCGCGTCGAATTTTTCCAATAATTTTTTGTAGGCTTTTGCCCTCTGGTTGGTTTTTTAAGATAGTTCTAATTACTTTCGGTAAAAAACTAAATAAAATTATTTTGTTTTTTTGTGAAGCTGTCAAGAGTTTTCGAAAGTTCGCTGCAAATCGATAAATGGGGCGAATTTTCTAGCAAAATAAATGTTGGCATTTTTGCTTTTTTGCGTTTTTGATTAAAAAGTTTTAGTTTTGTGATCGGTTTTTGAGAAAAGCTTAATGGATTTCGGGAAAAAACTTCGTTTTCATTTTTATCCCGAATTCGATACTGAAAAAAGTTTGTGTAAATGTTTTACAAAGCTATAAATTTGTCTTGTAATTTTTCGCGTAAAGATCCACCAGATCGTTAGTGAAAGTTAAGTGAAACTCTGCAAAATAGAGCATTTTTGAGTAGAAAGTAAAGCAAAATAAAATTCAGTCAAAACTAAAAAAACCCCATTTTTTAACAAATTCTACAGTCTTCAGAGGAATGGATGTGACGATATTTCCAAATAAACTATTATAAACTTTCCCTTATTCTGTTCGTTTTTCATAGAAAACTGACTGATTTTTGTTCCGAATTCGAAGCTGAAAAGGGATTTCAAAACTTTTTACAAAGCGACGAAGAACTCGAATATTATTTCATATTTTTTAGCGGAAAATGCCTTAAGATTGTCAGCATTTGTAAGTGAAACTTTAGAAAATTGAGCATTTAAAAGAAAGAATAACTTGGCTAAAACTGAAGGATTCCGAAATTTGAAGACATTTTAAAAATATTATTAATAAATGGCCTTTAAAATAAATCTAAAAAAGTTTTAAAAGGGTCATCAACATTTTCCCAGCAAGGGAACTGAGTTACTGCGCCAACTCCTAAAAATTCACTGAGTTACCCAGGCCTAAGAGGTTGCCAATTTTTTATATAGGCTCTTGAGTTACCTACTCTATCAAAAAAGTTCCATTATTACTATGTTTATTAAAAAAGTGATTATTTAGATAATTCTAACCGTTTGCCGGATATGAATGGAATTGAACAAGAAATAATCCAATTTCCCGTCTATTTTCTGTTAAGGTGCGGAATATTTATATAACTCTAAAGAAGACAAGAATACTTTTTTTTTTAGAAACGCTCTACCGAAATGGTTCCTATGGCTCATTGCGCATTTTCAACCGTTTCTGAAATATTAACGCATTTTGCTCTAATACTTTACAAAGCAAACTGGCAAAGTCAGTTCTTGAGAGGGTTTATCAAAAAGGTCCTAAAGATTATTCAGCTTATCCAACACGATTTCCTCCAATTTTCTAAGTCTTAAAGCTTTTTCAAACCTTCGGAAGAAAACTAAAGCTTATATCGAAATGACTCTTCTTATACATACAGATATCTTAATCCGTTTGTAAAATATGCGTTGATTCTGAGTAAAATATGAGCCTCACTGCTCTTTCAAAAAGGTTCTTTCTAAATTTTCTTCAGTACAACCAAAATCCACTTCGGATCTCTTAGGTACCTTTCTTCTGAGGAAATTCGAATCGGATTTCAGCTCAGGGCTGGCGGCACCATCAGCAAATCCCAAACCCTCCCAGCCATCATCAGGCACAAATGGATTGCGGGCGATATTGGAAACGTCCGGTAGTTCCCCATTGGGAGGCGACCAATCGACGTCTTCTAGATCAGTCGGAACAGAATAATCGACATCATCTTCTATCTGATTCCCTTCCAGTGGTTCCAAGGGCCACAAGCGATCCATCTGAACGCCCTGGATCAGAACCGTCGAAAGCAGGCAAAGTACCTAAAAAAACACCAATTTATTGCTCAATTTTTGCATGAATCTGCCTGGAATTGTTTCGCACTCTGTCACCTCGTCTACCTACATACGCAAGTGGTACTTACTAATTGACTTTAATAGATAAATTAGAGTCGGTCCCCTTCAGGACTTTATCACTTCTACGTTCTAACAGTGGCATCACTCACTCAACTGGGTTCTTTCTGCCTGTTTACAATGGTTGTTTTCGGTTCTTAAAGGACGATTAAACGCGCGTATCAACTGGTGCCAAACGGATTACTTACCAGTGCCAATAGACAATGATAATAATGCTGACTTCGGATAAGAAAAGTGCCAAAAAGTGTGTGGTTGATGAAATCAAAAGGTAAGCAACCCAGTAGTAAGTTGATTTATTAACGCTGAACTATAAAAAGCCTTCGAAGCCAAACCGTCTTGATAGTGCAGAAGCTCTAAAATTAATTTGACCTTAGAGAACATTTTTATCGTCCAAAGGCTATTTATATCTGGCAAAAGTAGTCAATTGTGGTGCTTATCAATCAAACGGACTAAATCGACGATTTACTTACTTATTGCAATTATTTATTTTTTTCATCGGAGGATATAAATAAATATCTAAGCCTGGGCAAGCTTAGAGCTACGAGGTCGTTGGGAAAATTTGGCAAACACCCCGTAGAACTTCGGCAAGTTCTACGCAAAAATTCCTTAAAAGTTTATTAATTTATTAGCAAAACTGCTTGCTTTCTTAAGCCGCTCTCAAAGCGGCTTTTTCTCGAAATTTCAACAGGCCCTAAACCCTAAAATACAGGATGTGGCGTTTTAAATGGCCAATTTGCCCCAATAAAAACCGCTCTATTGATGTGCATGTCAAGTTTCTTGGCAAATACACTCGATAATCGCGAATATTTGAGTTCGATTAACTAGCCGTTTACGCGGCAAGTTACCAACTAGTTGCTAAATGCCCAAAATTAGGAAAACGTGACTGATGACACCGAAATACGAAACATCACACAAACATGTGTAAGAAAAACCCAATTTGCGGTCCTTCGCTTAGTTGTTACCACTACTCTAAGTTAATTGTAGTTTTTTTTTGGTGGAATTTCAGCGGTTTTCGGCGCAGAAAAACGGGGGTTTACCAAATGGAGCAGCCGGAGGGAGAAATCGTTTTCCAAAATCACCGCTTTCTGAGCACGTTGACTATCGGGAAAAGGTAAGTGGGCACAACCACGCAAAAAACTACTTACTGTTAACTGATTAGCGGTAAGGACCATTTCAGTCGATCGGAACAGCGAAAACTATCGAGCAAAACGCAATTGCGGGCTTTTTTATCCGTTGCTTTTGACACAGATTTATTCAATTATCAGGGAAAAATTAATTATTCGGCCGTATGTTGCGGGTATTAATCCATATTGGGCTTTGGTAATACGAGACGATTAACATCAGTCTACAGTATTAGTAAAAACAACAAATATTAGTGTAGGTTTCGGGCAAATTAACTGATTTCATTTAATTACTGCAGCCAATTGTTACACGGCTTTGGGCGGGAATCGCGTACGAAATTCACAAACCAAATTACTCAATTGAGTTAATGGATTTAACCGAAAAACGCTTAAGTACATAAAAATGTTTGCTGGAAATCAAGCAAATGTTGTATTTTGTTAAGTGGGAAAACAACAATTTTATCCGTTTTACCCAATAAATGCTCCGAAACAGTGATTTAACGGTTTTTTGCCATTAGCGTTTTAGAGCGGGGCGAGCAACCTTTTTAATCAAAGGGCCAATTTAAATTTTTAATTTGTGTCAGGCCGCACATAAAGTAGCACTTATTAATGATTTTCCAAACTTTATTTGCAATAAACATTAGAATAAAAATATAGAAAATTGAAAAATTTAATGCAAAATAAAAACATGCAAGAAAACAACACAAAAAATTTATAGTGACAAATTTGGCAGGGTTTTTTCGATACAAAGCTGATCAATATTAGCCGGTATTGATGAGGTAGCTACACGTACGCAGCTTTCTAATCGTGCATCACTGGATCGGTGGTCATTTTTTATTAATTTTATGGTTAAAAATAATTTATAGCAAACATACGTACATTTGAGTCCGGATATAACGAACTTGAAAAATGAACTAAAACTGGTTGGTTATATCCGGAGTTCGGTATAAGCGAATAATAATACAAAAACACGTGGTGTATTTTATTTCGTTATTTTTACATGGAGTAGTAGAAGTTAGTAGGTATGACTAAAAAGAACACAAAAAGATAAACAAAATTCAATTTGAAATCTACTTCATAAAGTCTGTAATTTTTGTTT